TCTAGCACTATGAGATCATATTAATATTAAAAAGGGGCATGCCCATCTCTAGAATTACAGCTCAAGACACTTTTCTTTAAAGATCTGATGCGTAAATCAAAAAGCCAATTATTTTGGCAGCAACTAAAGCGCTTACGGAGCTAGATTACCAATTCCTGCTACTGAGGTACGATGTCTCAGCTATACTCAAGGATCTAACTTTGACAGAATGGGAGCAAATCAGTGAAATGCTCATTCAAAAAAGGTGCATTGTCAGCTCTCACGGGAAGCAATTCCCAGCTCTGGAATAATTGAAGTGGATAGTAAAGGAGGTAGGACGGTGGAGGTTAATTCCCTGGCCAATTTCCAGGTTACAGCCGAAACGCCCTGCGACACTACATCATTTTCACAACTCCCTTCCAATTTCTCGCCATAAGCCGACACCAACCAACCAACCAACCAGTCCCCATCTAAAAACGTCCCCTTATTGCCACTGTGGAAAGGACAAGGTCACACGCTACCAGGTTCCATTTTAATTATCTAGAAAAAAAACCAGGGGAACAAGATAGGAGAACTGTGTTCAAAAATACTTGAACGCGTTGATGAAGGAATTTGCAGTACGAGTTCCTTAACCAGCTTGCTTTACCTTGAAGAAATTGCTTACCCTCAGTGCTGCCCCAACTGTCAAAATAAGCATATTCATATCCCTCCCAGGTTCAGCTGCAGAACGCTTTGATATCCCTTTGATGAAAGGCTCGGTGTGCTGCAATTCCCCCATCCCACATCTTCGGGTTCACATCGGTTTTTGGATGCTAGTTAATGCTTACTAGAGAAGAAAAAAGCAGAAAGCAAAGAAGTGAGGAGTGCCTTTTATTAAAGCTAATTTCTGAGGCCAACCCACACTTCCCACTGCTGGCTAAAAGACTCTCGATACTATTAACTCTGTTTGCTGAAGCCTGTTTTAATACAGTATGAAACCTTTTATCAAATACCGATATAGGCAAGGAGATAACTACGTGTAACATGCAATCCGGGACAGTCTAACTACATTTTATATCTTTCTTATTCCAATTGCAAACAAAAAATTTGTTCCTCCATCTTGTTCCTTAATCAAAGAATCAATTTTTCCAGCCAAAAGCCAACGAGACAATGATACAAAAATGTCAGTGAAAACTCGGCCAATGCGACCCCCATGCAGAGCGGCGAGAGGGAAGGAAGTCCACACTGACAAAACAAACGCCTTCAGGAGACTACTTAACACCTCACTTGGTCAAAACTTTCTGTAGCAAGGAAAGTTTTGGTCTTAAATTTTTCCCTTTTTGTTAGAAACAGGTGCTCTGGAAATTATTCAAGTCAAGCCTAACACAGAAATGTGGCTCTGCAATGGTAACGACATGCTAACATACGCTCCAGACCCTGGTGTGCAGAACTACAACCTGACAGATAATACCAGAACTAGCACAAAGCTTATTACGCAAAATAACTCCTGCAATAGTTAAAACCTTCCTACCGATCAACACTGGGCAAGGGAGATTTTACAGCAGCCTGCTTCCTCTTTATAAATAAATATGCAAAAGGCTGGTCTAGCTTCTGATGTGTATTCAAACACAAAAATTCACTAAACAAATATTTTTAGCTGCTTTGATGTAAAGAATAATGGAAACGATAGTCTGCACGCATTAGAAAGTGTTTGGCTAGGAAACAACTGTTTCACTATCAGCAAACAGCACAGACCAAATTAACCAAATGATTCATTAAATAAACCCCAAAACCCAAAGTTGGCTGGTTTGGAATAGACAGTTATTTCTCTTTAACATGTAAAAATACAAACACGGATTTTTCGATGTGACCTCTGTATTGCGGGCTTTAGCCAGTCTCAGATCTACACATATTTCACAGAGGAGATCAAAGAAGCTCTGAAAATGAAAAAACCCAACATAACAGACAAACCCCAAAGAAAAAAAATGAACCAAAGACATTGTTTCTGTGCTTCAATAGCAGTTTCAGAACAGAACAAAACAGAGCCTCAGTTATTTATTACTTTTAACAGAAAGTTGTGCTAATGTTGCTCACAAGTAAATTGGTTATAGAAAGCCACAGCCAAAACTTGCAAACTGGTAATTTTACTCTAGTTCAGTTTCCGGCTCCCCCCCACCCGCAAACCTAATGTAGGAAATCAGGTTTGTGGTTCAGGAGCATGTCAGACCACACCTCTGCCAGTCATCTGGGTGCAGGTGGATTGTTGATAAAGAAAAACGCAAAGACTGAGATGACAACCTTGGGCTGAAAGTACAGAGATAACAGAGACATACGGTAACAATACAGCCTGGATGTCACAGCATCACGTAAAAGACCCGTAAGGTTTGCAGAAGGGAAACTTTTATAAAATCCTCCTGCACAGAGAAAAGAAAGAAGTTTTGAGCAGCGACACCATCTAAAATCCAGAAATGACCATGAATTCAAAGCTTTTTCCCTGAATAACTGCATTTCTGAGAGGATCCAAGAGACAACTTTTTAAAGTAACTAAACTCTAAATACACAGCTACAAAGAACCTCACAAGTCAGTATTTACAGTAAGAATGACGCAACTACGCACTTTTGAGAAAATCCACTTGTATTTGTTTTGACTCTCTAGGCTCTAACACCTTTAATCAATCTAGCCCTGCATTTCTTATTGTTACAAGATCACTGTTTTAAAAAGAGGATGTTCCCAGGCTATCACTGAGGTGATGGGAAACAGTGTTGTAAGTAACATAACAAAATATCCTAAACAAACAATCAAAGGTTCTTAGCTACGTAGACAATGATTTGATCTACCCAAACCCCCTGTAAGTGTACAACATTCATTTGTAAGGGTGCATGCAGGTATGTTATTCAGTTAAGATTGAAACTAAATTGTAACTATAAGGTTGAACTATATAGAATAATGGTACGCAATGATACAAACTGTATGTGGTTGCCCTCTGGTTTCCAATACTTGAATTAAATGGATTTGGAGAGGAGAAAGTCAAGAAGAAGGGAAGCTTCAGAATCCAAAACTGCTAGCAACAATAGTTTGGGGCGTACTCTCTCAAGACCATCCGTAATTTCCACAGATACAATCAGTGTGTGTGCCAGTTTGCAAAAGCAAGCATAAGGTCTTTTTTGTAACCGGAACAAAATGAAAAGAAGTAACCAAAGTGATTTTGTAAACTCAACATGTGTCTGTTACTGCATAATCATCTAAACCTCTCCTGTAGGTATCTGTTGCAACCAAGAATATCATGGGAAATTCACAGAGATCCAAGGAAAGGCAAAGCAGAAATAATGGAAAGCTAAAACTGCAGTCTAGAATATGTGCTTGTACCGCTTTTTATCAGCTTGTTCACTGTAAGCACTTAAAGAAGCCATGCAGAAAATATACACTAAAACTTTAATATAAACTATTACATGATTCTATCTTAATTACTCTTCTTTTTTTCTGATAAATACTTCATTAAATGTCCTTATAGCTCTTGTAAGTCCATCAAAAAGGTGCTTTTTACTCCCTTGCTGGCCCAGTATCTCGAGCCCGTACAAAAGACAACAGTAAACATACCTCAGGCTATCCCTCCTCCAAACCCAGGTTCATTTGCAGCCTTGGTTTTGCTTGTTACTAGGAAAGACCTTTTTGCAGAGCCTGAAGATTGGTAAGCATTAGCAACCTTACTGCAAAGCACCGTGAGAAACATCACGCAAACAGGCTGAAAGAAAAAAAGAAAATGTCTTCTAGCAGGCATCTTTTTGACTCGTCGCAAAAGCAGAAGTTGTTTATAGCAGAAAGATGCTGTTCAATTGACAGTGTCTCGCTGTCAACTGCCGAGTTGCTAACTCTCATAAGGACCTGCATTACACTACCGACTCTAACGTTTATGGATGTGAGTCTTCTTATTAACCTAAATGAGGATATACCCACAGTCATCAGTATATGTCAGTAAGATTTTTCAAAACTGCTTCACACAAAACGTCTGTGGTCGCACTGATTTTGAGAGAACGATGAAAGAAAATTGCTTGTAATTTTATTTTAAACATTTTTAAAAGATAAACATCAAATAAAAAGTTACATTTCCTTAGCGCATTAGCTTAGAAGTTACCAAAGCAGTATCAAAAAGCACCATACAATTAAAAGTTACCTCCATCTTAAAATAAGAAGTAACTTGAGTATTGCTAACACATGAAAAAGAGTCCTTGCACACAAACAAGGCCTGATTTTGAAACATGAACGCATGAAGACGCATACGCACGTTTAGGTATGAACTCTTCCCAATAGCGACATTTGCACATCCAGGTGACTGCGTATATAAAACCAATCTTCATTTCTCCAAAGACTGAATGCATGATCACTTGTATCCACAATTCCGGTGACAAATACATGTTCACATCAAAACTGCACAAGCACAAACTGGAGTTATTTTGAAACCCCACTGAAAAGGTGGGCCTTAAATTATCAGCAACGTTAAATCCCGGTTAAAGATTTATTTGAAAGAACCTCAGTTTGCCTTACTGTTGTAAAGATCATGTGAACAAACCATGAACTCCTTAACACAGAGAAAGGATTAAATTTTACTAAAATAAACTGTGTGCTCAGAAACGAGCAAAACACTGCAGCTGCTAACAGATCACGAAAGTGGTTTTAACTTTTGCTGTCATCAGCTGCTATGACTTTTTAATAGTACTAAAACATACATAGATCTAAAATTTTGCTTCCTAAATATTATTTTATAAGAGATTTTTCTTTCTATAAATACGACACTGGTTTGTACAATATTTATGTCTAATTCCTAAAGACTTAACAGTATTACCTTCATTACAGTTCCACATGACTAAAATACTTAACTAACTAAATTTTCTTAAAAAGTTTTATCTAATTTTGACTTTGTATTTTTATTATTTCTCATTATTTTGAATTATTTTGAAGCAAAAAGTGCTTCCTACTTTTTGCGTATACTTTCCGAACACAAATTTGGCTGTCCACCCATGCCATCAAGGTAATATTTCAGACTTCATGACTTCTTAAGCCTTCGCAGTTTTAACCTCCTGAGACCATTTTCAGCTTCTTTTTTTCTTTTTTGGGTAAGCTTCTCTGAAGACACAGGCTGCAGTTCTAAACAAGATGATGGCATCACAGGCAATTCTTCAGTGGTTGTGCTTGGCTCATTTTTGTTTGTCTGCACTATATTGTTGCACACAGAAAGAGGACGGGAGAAGTTTTTTCCCAAATTTAGTGACTCCTCACCGGATGCAGTTTCTGTCAAGTCTTGTTTAGAAAACAACCTGGAGTTAAGTGGGGCCCTCTCCTCCAGGAACGGACCTAAACAATCATAATCACATTTCCTCATTTCTGTATTGCTAGGAATTACAGGAGCCCCTTCAGAGGATACTTTTTTGAAATGGTCTAACTTCTCTTCTGAACCACAGATCTTCTGTTCAGCCTGTGTTTTGGTCACTTTTTGACTTTGTTTTGGACCTAGCTGTGCTGACTCAGAGCTACAAGGAGGGTTCTCGCTTAGAAGACTCGACTTCAACAACTCCACAGAGTGAGGTTTTTGCTGGCTGCTAACATCATCTGGCTGTCTCTGATTAACATAATTTTCCAGCTCTAAAACAGGAAGCTCCAAGTTGCTCTCAGCTGTATTTATGCAACCCTTTAGCAGTCCCGTACTCCTACATTTCACTTCAGATTCAGGACTGAGAGAAGTTTGACAGTCGTTCTTTCTGTTCCCCGTCTGCGAGTCCACTGAGCCAAGATACACTTTCTTGGAGTCCTTGCTGATTTGAGGTTTGCTTGTGCTACTTTTCCTTGGTTTTGTCCTCTTCACACTGCAATAAAAAGGAATTTTGTTTTTAAACTAAGAAAGAATCTTCACTGCCTCAATCTGCCCTTCTAACAAACTCTGAAACACCACTAGGGCAACCTAGACTGAATGTGGAAAAAAACCCCTGTATATCATCTTGACAAGCAGTAATGTTTGTGTAGCGCGGACAATATCAAGTGTTATCCATCTGATTTTCCACTGCACTAGGGGAACCCTATTTATTAATGACTAAGCCATGAAGGAGTTCACATTCTATTCCAAGAGGCAGAACTGGATTCATTACAGATGTTAAAGGTCAACACGGCATAAGTATATCGAATTCCTTCCCAAACTGGCTAGATAAAATAGTATTTCATAAATGCCTAAATGATTTCAAACCATTCCCATATATTCACATGCATAATGTATGTCTAAAGAATAGAGGGGGGCAGGCGGGGAGAGGCAGCATGCGCGTCTCTGTGTGAGAGTTTCTAATCTCTATTTTAGAATGTTCCTCTGGAATTTTTCCCAGGACATTTCAAAGCATTACTTTAAAGTTAACCACTACTCATCTAGCATCAAGCCCATTCATCTGAGAAGGACTTAGGTAATGCAAGTAGAGGATACTCTGAAAGGAATTATACAGGAAAATGGGATCACAAGGGACCTAATGGACAGTCAGTACATAAACACTCCTCAGCAGCACGTTACCTACAAATCTGGATTTCACAGAGGCTGTAAGATGAACTTTATGCGCAAGCTCTGAAGCTGCCTATGTAAGATTTTGAGTCTAAAGATAGTACTACAGATCGTCCCACGCTGAGACCGCTTTCTGCTGCTCTGCTGATGCCGAGCAGTTCCCAGGTCGGCGTATCTAGCTCTTTAGGCAGAGGGCTCTTCCAAAATAGGCAGAGCTAGCATACGTCCAACTCTAATCTCATTTCTAACGACAACACCGATGAGACAGCCTGGGTAAAAAGAAAAGTTGCCAGGGTTCACAGCAAAGCCCTGATTCCACAGTTGATTGGGGCTACTGGCAGCTTGCGCAAGTAAGAATGGCATCCTGGTACAGCAGAGGACCAGTAAAACGTTCAGCTGACCGACTAACCCTCCCCATCTGCTACACCAGGGACACACCTTAATTCTGACCAAAGATCCAGACTAGTATCGCGGTACACTGCAGACTCTCAGAATGAACAAAAAATATATTTGCAAAGTGTTTTTCACCAGATTCAAACATCACATATTTATTTTGGCTCAGAGCTTCATTCAAGGAAAAAACACCCTGTTTTGATTCTGCCTAGCGCTATGTGGGATATCTATGTGGGCTGAAATAACTTCTTTCTTGCCGTACAAAACAACAACAATCATTTTATGTGCTTATTCACCCTAGAGTAGCAGGCCTTTAATAATTTAAAATCGTATTTTGTAAAGGAGTTTATAAGCATTTGAAATTTTATTACATAGGCTAGATTCTATTTACCCAAATTCTACCAGATTATAAATTTAACACCTTCAAAAGAGTAGTGACGTACATTTTTTTCAAGATGTCTTGCTTTATTTGTTCATTCAGACTAATCTTAAGATTCTTGTTCTCAGCAGATTCAGCAAAATATTCAGACGTCCCACTGGAAAGTTCTTCTTTCTGCTCCAAAAGAAAATACAGGTTTAAAACGTGACACATCAAGCTATGATTATTCAACATAAAACGCCATTTCTAATACTAAGACTTACAGATGTTCTTTATTATTTTGATCTGAGCAGTCTAAGAGAAACAGAATTATTTTTAATCTTTTCATATTTGGGAGTCTAGTCAGTTCCCTCCCCTTTCAGACTCCCAACAAACATATTTCATATGCTAAAATACACCGCAAACAAACAAGACTGTAATGTAAAGGATGTAGCTTTCCAAACCATCTGAGGAAGCTGTTGGCAAATATTTGACATCTTTGTGGCTCAAACTGTGACAAATGCCAGGAATCTCTCTTGCAGACAGGAGCATGTTTGTCAGGTTTTTTTCTGAAGAGACTGACTGGCGCAGCGGTCTATACACTTACTCTCAGAAGAATTCCCATAATTTTCCATACTTACAAAAAAATATGCAGAGTGTTATTTGCTCATTTAAGAAGGCAAGGGTTAAAACTTTTGATACTAACATTCAAACGCTCACAGCTTGTAGTGGTTGGCTACTACAGGACAACAGGGGAATTCTTTCTGGTCTCAGCTAACAGCAGCACCATGGTTTTATATAATACGAGATTGGGGCGAGAGGGAGGGAAGGAAAATGCTCTTTTTCTTCAAGCTGTGAGCACTTCCTTTCACAATGAAACAATCTCAATGAGAGAAGGGCCATTTGCCGACTTCACTAGTAACTACCACATACTTCAAAAAAGTATTATCTCTGAGGCTATGGAGAGGAGAGAAAAAAAATGTGGCGAAGTCAAGAAGAGAAGAGGCTTTGTGCATCTCCTTTTCTCTGATAGCGTTTTTCTTCATCAGCCTACATGATGCAACTTCTGACTGGGGCTCATCAAACATAGGGAGTGCTTATTTATACCGTTTCTTGCTCTGCACTGTGAAGCTAGCACAACGGAGCCAGGCGGTGCGAAGGAACTGAAGAAAGAAGAGAAAGACTGCGTAGGTGCAAGGCCAAAGCGCGTACATGACCGCTGCCTGGAACACCCCTCAGGAACCTGTCACTTATAGGAGATTAAGCCCTGCCCATTTTTATATTTATTTCTATTTTAAAGGAGAGAGGGTAAAACCTCACCGCTCTTGCCAGAAGAATAAGCCAGTGAAAACAACTTCCTGTTTTGTAAGCAAAAGAGGGTAGTCGGGCAAAGAAACAAAGCCATTTCAACAGTTTAAAAAACTACAGCTGTTTTGAGCCTTCCTTTCAGAGGCAAATTACGCAAACATGTTTGTGTCTATTGACAGACGCATGAAGTTCTGTCCACTAATGCCGCAACACATGTGTTCACAGCAGGCAGAAAACACATGGGACATGCATGCAATGTGATTTCAACCTCAGAAATCAAGCCTAACTAGTTTAATCCAAGGGATTAAATCCTCCTTCTATTCTGTTAGAGGTATGGGCTCCCCTAATTTGACCAAATGTGGTTTTGTATTTTGTAAACTACTAAAGAAGGAAATATATTAAGAACTCAAGAGCTTTGCTGATTTTAAGAGAAGACAGAGGCTCTTAACCGTAGTCTGTAGAAACTATTCCAATTTCCAGTAACACTCACACAACTCAGACTGAAGGATCTTGCACAATCATTCTGCATCAAAGCAGCTGGAGAGCACTTTTACTCGGCAGAGAAGAGCAGCACCAGCAGAAGCATTTGACCTTTCCTTATTCTGCTTTATGGTGAGGCTAATTCTATGAAATCTTCTTCAGTCCTCAGCTGAGGACATCAACATGGCACACTGGGACAAGACCACCAGCCCGCTAAGGCAGTTGTTGTAGACGTGGTAAACAATGGGTGGAAAGCAGCACTTTGTACAAAATCCAGAGGAGGACTGGGGACAGTTCCTGTCCACACGTACTCACTACTACAGAAAAATAATAAACCTCGGTTCTAACTTGCATCTGATTACGAGCAGTGCATGATCATTGCCTGGAGTGTACCGTCACGCCAGGGTGTGAAGAGCAGACCCTGGAGAGAGGCAAAGATGATGAAGCCATGTCACTTGTGAGTTGAGTCAGACTGAGTTAATGGCCTAGACTTGAAGAGCTAACGCATTCCCTCACTATGCCATCGTCAACCTTTTATTTTGTTTTCAACTAACTTATCACATAAAGGAGTGACAGAAAAGGGTTAAGGTGTTAAAAAAATTAAAAATCAAAATGATTTATATGTGAAACACTTCTGAACATGCCCTCTAAGTACAGTAGATTTTCCCCTTGGAACCACACCCTGTAAGTGCTGTATTTTGAGAGCTGAACAATTAACATAAGGCATATGAGTCAGTCTTTGAAAGACTCTGTGGGAACCAGAGAGCCTTTTGCTATTAGGAGTGATGTAAACTCCCTAAGGCTGGAATAAGTCCACAATAGAAGGCAAAGAGAGTCATAAATAACAACAATGGGCACTCCATATACTAAGACACTCAGCCATTATTGGTGATACTTCCTTTATTTTCTTTATTAGACTTAATAATTTTAGTTAATTAAAAAAAAATAAAAAACACTGTCTGTTTTGGGAATACTATTTATTTCCTATGGGAACTTCAGGACTTGTTAAAGAAAGAAAAAAAGCTAATCTGCTCTCATCCTGTCTAGTAATCCCAAATTCCTTTTAGGCAGTGAAATAATTAAAGAAAAATATTCCAGGCATAAAAAGGAGGACAGCAGAAACAGACATCATATAAACAATGACACCATGACAGAGAAAAACGTCAAAGCACCGCCAGACTTGTGACTTGACTCTGAAAGAGCTGCAGGGAGTGGGATTGCTGCTAACAAATTAAAACCACATTTCTTGGCAAATTGTTAAAGACAGACATATTTACATTTGTATAGAGACTGGGTGGGCACAAAAGATTAAAATGCTTCTTTAGCCCTTGAACTGCCAAGTTCTATTAGAAATATGTGCTCTTAAAATCCTAGGGTAAGCTCACTCCTTTTTGTCACTAAAACTCAGCAAAGAAGGGCCTGCTGAAATGAAGCTTACAAAGTCTTGCTACCCTACCTGCTTGTAATACTGACTTCTCAAAACCCAATTTTAAGATCCTTAGTACTTATCCAAAGAAACGCCTGGGAAAAAAAACTCTGTTAAGACCTAGAGAAACATGACTGTTAGGTGCACAATACTTGTTTTAAGGCTTATCAAATTGAAAAATCATTCTTTTACTATCTTACTCAACTTACTATCTCACTCAAAAAATGAAAAATAAATCCTCAAAAATGTAAAAGTGGTGACTGCCATCTGCAGCTCTTTCCAGGACAGCTGAAGTCAGCAATACAGCATTAAATACCTGTAAAAGAACTACTCATGGATGTGCACTTGTAAAGAATCCTTACAACTCGTTATCCTGAAGAAGACTGAAGGGTTTGGCCTTCTCAGCCTGATCATAATACTCACACAAATGCTAATTTTTTCTTCAGTCTAGCGTTTGGGATGCTGGGCAGAAAGAAAAATTTCCAAAGTGCACAATGCTGCCGCCCTTCCCGCCTCTCGTTTGGTTTCATACTTTCTAGTTGTCTCTTCCTATGCTCAGGATAACAGTTGCACAGGCTTATGTACCAATAAAGTAACGCTAAGGGATAATTAAATTTCGTGTCTGGTTAACAAAAAAAAAACCCCTCCCACAATTAAAAACACACACTGTTTCTGAATTGCATTTATCAATGTGGCTCAACTTGCTCATCAAAAATACTTAATAGAAAACATCAATGGGTCCAATAAATCAAATTCAGTATCAGAGTGGCATACGGGAGGGGCATACAATAGAATAATGTAGATGAAGCAATGAAATAAAGTATTATCCCAGGCACACACAAGTGAATAAAATTAAAATTAGTAAAACAAATCAAACAGAAACACATTTAGGGGAGCTTTATGCAAGCTTGCAATTGCATGATTTCCCTTAATGCCGCTCTAAGCAGTAGCATGAGCTCAACCATCTAAGATAACCTTTAGGTTTCAGAACTGTTCTAATAGATGACTGGCAGATCAGGGAGGTCAGACAGGACTCTTTCCAATCTGATAAACAGAAAAGGGCTCCTAAAGCAAGTGAGGAGGCTTGCTGGTGAAGGATGAATCAGATACTGTAATCTAACTGATAAAAAATCAACAGAGACAGGACTTTGGGTCTAGTCTTCTGCCCTCTCCCATCCCACATGAAGGAAAAGCTTCCCACAATTTCACGATGCAAATTTTTCAGCGTTTCCAACATAGTGATGCATCTGTCCTAGCAATTCTACTTATGAACTCTTACCACATCATAAAACATTCATAGAAGTTTTCCAAGTACAGAAATGGATATTATTCTCAAACCTGAAATAGAGTTCCTTGATTGGACTTGTGGAATATTGCTCTACATTTTAAAAGGGACTGTTCTGCTCTATATGTCAGTAAGTTCCAGTAAAAAACACTGGGGGATCATTCCATGTTACACATGGGAGTACTGAATTTTCATCTGAAATAGGTATTTTTAAGGAATGCTGGTGGTTTTAAAAAACACATTCTTTTCAAGATTGAAACTGGAGAAACAACCAGAGAAAACTGCAACTCTCGAGTGAGGAACAGAGCTGTATAACCTGCCCGTGGCCTAGCACAGAAAGCAGTATCTAACTCTTGAACCAGTACAGACTTCATTATCTACTGTCAAAAGTAATTTTGATTTGACACCATGGATCTTAACTATTAGATTTTTAGCCATCCAGAGTCCCTATGGTCTGTACTATTTAGTCCAAGAGTTGGCCCAATCTGTTACAAGCCCCTGTGATACTGTCCTGGTTTCAGCTGGGATAGAGTTAATTTTCTTCCTAGTAGCTGGCATAGTGCTGTGTTTCGGATTTAGCATGAGAAGAATGTTGATAACACACTGATGGTTTAGCTGTTGCTAAGTACTGCTTATGCTAGTCAAGGACTTTGCAGCTTCCCATGATTTGCCAGGTGCACAAGAAACTGGGAGGGG